GGCATTACTGCACAACTTTCGAAAGTAGTTCTGAGAAAAAAATGACCAGTCATTAATCTACTGATGAAATGAAATTGAAAAAATGAGTCCAGGTAGACGATGACGTGTACGAGCAAGCCAGTTGAAAAATAAACGAGATAAGTGTAATACTCGTCGAATACACGAAGTAATAGGTTTCGCTCATCGTTATATACATGGTGTGACAGACCGAAGTCCTATGCTGTTAGCTAGTAACTTGTTGCTGTGCACATTGTGGGTATAGCAGTATAGCTAAAAAGGTGAACCCAGTGGAAACAAACGCTACTTTCGGTCGCAGTGCATGGTCTATGGGTAAACACTTCCAGTAGTGATTACAAAGCAATGGACTGCAAATATCTCGGTCGGATTGTGGTACGAGGCAGCACACAGCCCACGAACAAAGGTGGCTTCTTAGTGCACCGTTTGTTTAGCCGAGTACCTGAATGTTGTGTTACTGGATAACAACTAGGTCAAATCACACAGTTGTAACAGCAACAGTTGGACTCCATGCCACGTCATTCCAGATCGAATACACAAGAGGTCTTCTAGCTAGAAGTATGCACCAAATTAAACCACTTATGATTCTCTGATCTAGAGATGGAATGGTATATCTATCGGTCACGGCACTATAAGAACGATGAGGGTCATCTTATAAACGAGACAAGGAAAAAGATTGAGATTGCCATAAAGGGCTTAATCTCGCCTTAACTTTAAAAACAAGTAGTTGATGGTATGTGTCTATAAACTACTGCGCAAGATTTGTCGAATGGAATGTCGCATACATTCAGATGCTCTATTCTATTTAGTACATCATAGTCAACTCGCGTATTTCAGTTGATGCCCTATCGTTGTTAGACTAGTAAAGAGTATACCTCATACTGTGTTATTCCGCTTGTTGTGCTATCATCGTCCAACGCATTAATTTACCTGCGTAAGGGTTCTACGGGCCGACATCTTCGTCTTGATAAATTCGACATCTGAATGCTCCAGATGCCACTAAACAGTGGACTTATTGGCTTCGAATATTCAAGGCTTATTGAAGCGAGCAATCTGACGACTCGAATAATCTGGAGATGCTTGTCAACTTGCTGTTCCCTTCCGTGTATCAGCATGTCACTGAATGTAAAAGTTCTGATAATGATGTTTCAGTTCTTCAGTCCCTGCATGTGGGCACTAAAAGTGTGGTTGTTGCTCGACATCTTTTAACTGCGTGCAAGCAGGAATGTGGGCAAAATATCGACCAGTCTGTGTACAGCGTCAAACCTTTAGCGAAGGACTGCAAGTAATGCTCAGTCTCATCTGACGGATATTGCGACGATATCGTGCGTGATGCTATTATAACTGGATTACAGTCAAACAGCATTCGAAGGACGCTCCTGGAGCTGCTTATGATATGGCAAGGTTGCTGGAAGTTGTTCTCAGAGTCAGTGTCGGCCGGTGGCCGAGTGATTGGCACGTTTGCTTTCCAACCATAAGGTCGCCGGTTCGAATCCGCGTAGGGGTGGGCGTCCTCGCGGTATACTCAGCCCGCGCGCGACTGGTGGTGGTCGCGCGGCAGCGAAGCGCCGTTACGGCGTATAAGCTGACGCATTTCATTTTTTTCATTTCAGTGTTATGGAACTGAAACGATTCCCTGTACCTCGACCGACTCTGCTCCACGCAGTCATCATCCCTTCGTTAACTCAACTGAGACTGAACCGAGTGTGTCCGCGGCACCCACAGCAACGTGTTATTTTGGTAGACATACTAAACATCCCTGCTTAGTGTCCCGCGAAAGATACCATTTGCAAAACTTGTGAGGAAACTGGGTATTACAAACGCCTGTGGAAATCCAAGCCCGCTACCTCATCCATCCGTTCAGCAATGCATCTACGTTTGCCATTTTAACGGTTGCAGCTCCAGGTTGCTTGTCTCGTACAATAACAAAATTCCTGTGAACAACGCCGAACCGCATGCTTTAATTGATACTGGCAGTTCTCGTAGTTATTTATCTCAATCCGTCGTTTACTCCCACCACTGGAAGATCCATCCTTGAGACTTCAAAAGCACTATGATTCCCATCACTTTGGCATGCGCCGTTACTGGATATTGCAATGCTCGAAGTCGCTGCCAAAATGTTGTATACAACGACGCTCCACTTTCCGTTCGGCGTAGCATGTGCTAAAGTATTACTCGGTCACGAGTTTCATGGCTAGCGTATCATTCGGTGGGGGCGCGGCACTTTATCTTTGTATGGACAAACTGCAGCCAACATCAAATCACCTTCACTACTTCCCAACCTGACCTTTAAACGCAATCCATTCGTTACAAAGTCTCGTTGACACTCAACTGATGATGAACACTATATAAAATCTGAAATACAGTGATTATTAAACGACGGCATCGCTGGGGCACCAAGCTATCCTCAGAGAGCACAATACTGGGAAAATGTTAAGCATAAAAGTGGTGGTTGTTGAGTACAGTCAGACAATCAACCGTTTCACATTGCTAGATGCTTATCCGTTACCGCGAATCGACAAAACGATAACTATTTCTCACTATGCCGTATACAGTACACCTTCACCTTTTTCTTCTGCCATGGTTCTGATGGCACAATGTCTGTTAATAGACTGTGAATAAATAAATATATATATATATATACAGTACATTGGAGTTAAGAAATCCCTATCATCAGATCTTGAGCATGAGTATGAAAAGTCATACACCGTCTTTGAAGCATGTGGAGACCTTTAGCAATTTTGCTGTATTCCATTTTGGGTCACCAATGGTGTAGCTTGTTTTCAGCGCAACACTGACAGGATACTGAAAACGGAAGGTCTCAGTGACACATTTGCTTATACAGACAACGTAACTGTGTGTGGTGTAACTATGAACGATCACAATCTAAACGTCCAGAAGTTCTTGGCAGTTGTTGCTAGATACGGCATAACTATGAACAATGATAAACCCGTCACAGTATGTGAGGAAACTCGTCTCTTCGGTTACCATATATCTACGGGTGAAATCGGGCCTGATGCAGGACGCATGAAACCTCCGCGTCAAGTTCCGTAGATCTCGACGCGTTGTTGGTAGGTTCGTCTACTACTCACAGTAGTCCCTTCCTCCTCAGACAAAATCAGTCCACTCAGGAAGAGCCGGGTCTCTCCCCCTACCACCGTGTGTAGAAAATGCATTCGGGCAGTTTAAGATGGTCTTGACAGCTGATTACAGTATTCCATTGGCTGTCGAAACAGACGCATCCGACATAGCCATCATCACTGTCTTGTTTAGCCAGAACAATCGCCCAGTCGCCTTTTTCTCACAATGAGAAAGAGATGTACGCTATTGTGGAAAATGTCAGCATATGACGACACTTTCACCTTGGGGCACTGTTCTACCCTATTACTGATCAGCGATCCGTAACTTCCGTGTACGGTGATGGTCAAGCAAGCAAAATTAAGAACGATAAAGTCCAGAGGTGGCGACTGGAATTGTCTGCATACCATTAAAACAGGTTATAAATCTGGTAAAGATAATCAGATGGCAGATGCACTGTCTTGCAGCACTTGTGACTCAAATGTTAACACCAAGAAACTGCAGGACTTTAACAACTCACTGTGCCACCTAGGAGTAACGAGTATGGTGCATTTTGTACGCTTTAAAAACTTATCTGACTCTGTTGAAGTTAAAAGCGCACTGTACAGCGTTAAAACCCCACGACTCGACTCATCAAAGCTACACAGTTGTTCAAACGGTTCAGTATGGAATTCAAAGAAGTTTACCTAGAACGACTTGCAACAGATAGTTACTGATTGTCGTTGATGAATGCGGTAGATTCACTTTAACATTTGCATCCTCAGATATGCGAGCCGGCGAACATACGCTCTGATTGAGGACTTTCGTTCATGTTTGCAGAGCTTATTAAGTTGCTACTGGACAAAAGAGTGACAACTAGTGACACAAATGCCTACAGCGCACAAGCTAATGGAACCCTGGAGCAAAAAACCTGGCACCTTCGCAGTGGGGAGTCTGTCATAACGGGCTGCATTCCATCGGCTCTTTGCTTTGTACTGCTACAAACACTACTCCTCACGAACAGCACCCTTGATTTGCTCGACAGCTGACTAGCGGAATTTCCATACCACCCTGGCTGATAGTCTTTGACCTGGTCTTACTCAAACGTAATACGAAACTTTGATGGAGGAAGTCAGCCCAGTCAGGTACAACCCTCAGTAGAACCGTGTACGGCTACTAGATGGTGGAGAAGAAAATGTCTCCAACAGTCGCGTGGCTCTTCGAGGCGGCCTTCCGTATTACAATTTGAAACACGGGATGCACCAAAAACCCCTAAAGCACCCAAATGGACAATAAACCAACCCCGCCATCAGAACTCTCAGAGAGAATGGCTGGTGGTGCGATCTCGACTGCACCTCTTTTAGTCTACCTTCTCATTCCGATATTCTAAGCCAGCATCAAAGAACACGTCTATAAGACTTATGAAATAGAGTTTAGTCAAGGAATTTTCCCCTTGTGAATCACACTTCAAGATAACTTTCATTTTCTGGCTAGGATGAATGTCACAAGCATTTACTTGCCTTAATTTACATACCACATAGTAAAGGAATCTTTTACCTTTCAGCTGATGCACTTCGTTGTTAGACTAGACTCCGTGTTAGTCCGTTATTGGGCTATCTCCGTCCAACGCATCACTGAGATACGTATAAGGTGCGAGTGGCACGAAGTTGAATATGGTTTCGAAAAAAGAAGGCCAAAGCACGTTGGAATGACAGCAGGATCCTAATAAAACAGCCTCAAACAGGATTCTTCAGTCTCCAGTGAGAAACAGTCAGAAAATACGACGTCTCGTTAAGCGAATCAAGTGAAAACAGTAAAACAACGAATTTGCGTCACGCCCTTCCTGGTGTTATTTTACTTCACAACAAAGGGTACGTTAAAGTTTAAAGAGAGAACAGCAGCGGAATCATTTGGCTGTCTGAACGAACCTTTAACCCAATCGAGATCAAGAAATCCTCGAATCCTTTGATCTTCCCAATCAACAAACTGAGATCCCCAGTTTCAACGGAAAGAGGTTGGCATATTTGGCCAGAAGCAATATCGTTGAGAAGTTTGATAAGATAATCACGAGCATGCGATTTTAGAACAACATCTGTACATAAGCCTAGCTGTATAGTAAAAGGGTGCAAGGAATACTTCTCCAGTAGCGAACGCAACTTCAATAAATCAGCACCTATAAATTCAGTGAATGAAGTCAAATATAACTTACCAACGATAGTTGCTTGACATTCCCTGTTCCTGTACAACTTAAATGTGGGTAGGCCTGTGACAAATTCATTTAGGCACAAGTCTTTGCATTGGTCAGCATTTATTTTCACGAACACAACTCCTCTGGAAGTGAACTCCTCGCATAGTAACTGCACGTGTGGGGCAGACCTTTGACATGGAGCACACCAATCGGCATAAAAGTCGGCCAACAGAATCTTGTGTTCCTCAGCACATCTCGACAAGATATCATCGAACGAGCGTGAAGAGGAGATTGCAAGTGGATGAATTGCCATTCTTCCAAATGAAGCCGGGTACAATGGGGCAAATGCAAGATAAATAACTAAAAGCGTTAAACAGCAGTAGATAAAACAAAGTATTAAAATCAAGAATTTTTAATTTTGCACTTAACGCATGCGATAGTATGTAATGGTACCAGTAGGAACACGAGGAAATCTGATGTGCTTAAATGAAAGAATACATGTTTTCAACAACGGTAATCACGCGGTGAATAGTAATATCCAGTGAGACTGGAGTGAACCCAGTGAGAATGAAAGAACAAAGCGCCAAAAACGTGAGTCCCGCATACCCAAATAACTAGCTCGGAGAAAATAGAAATTTATTTTTGTTACGCATGATCATCTGCCTGATGCTCAAAACCCTCTAACGCAGATCGCATAACAACGAAAACCCAGTCAAAGAAACAAATTTCTACTCTCATCCAATCAGATGATTGTCTGTGCGGCTTCACAAAGTGCTCACGGAGATTGGGTAAGTCAGTGCAACTAGATAGTCCTGAATAATTCGTGCCGCCCCTACAAGTGCAAAAAAGGTAAATGAAGACGAAGCACCCTCGAATCACTTGATAATGCTTTCAGCACATTCCCAAACAAAACAGCTGTTTGGGACAGCTTTGTCCCCTAACTCCTGGATAAGCCTAGTAATAATTCAGAGCCCTCTTTAGTTCTATTCTAACCTGGACAAGACATGGTTAACAAGCCTACATACAATATTCTAGACGAGATCGATTGAAAACTGGGAACAACTTTACATACGTGTTGGTCGCTGAGATTACAAAGAAGCGGTGTATAAATCAGATCATACGAAACTTTTGCAAGCAGCTTTCTTCCAAGTGTTGCCAGATAGAAAAGTCGAAGAGTGCAAGACGTAAAAGTCAATATGATGAGAGACACTACTGAGTTCAATCCCAGCAACGACATATTCAGTGACGGAACCAGCTACTTTTATGTGAAGAACGGAACCATTTTCCTGGTTTACCCACCCCAACCATAAGATCTATTAATTCCTGAATTGCTCCATAACGTCAATGAAAATATTTAAGGTCTTCAGCTAAAGCGACGGCAGCTCAAGCTCCTCATGCAAATTATTCACGCATATAATGAACAGTAACGTTCCTGATGTCAGACTCCGTTGGAAGCCAGTAAGAATAGTTTATTTCAATGGAAAAATGTGTTCCACAAGTAAGAACGGTTCTCACCATCAGAAACGCAAGAACTCATTTAAGGGAGCTGCCAGATATTTCATAGGATTCAAACTTCAATGAGAATCGTGAGGGACAGTGTCATAAGCTTCCGAGAAGTCAATGAACAGCACGTCTGAAGTGTGGTCGCTCTCTACCGCCACAGCCTAATTTTCACGAGCTACCGACAAGTAAGTTAAATATAAATCTTTACGAACCCGTGTTGTAAGCAATAAGAATAAATTTAACCAAGTGGTGCCGCACCGGATCTCTTATCAGGTCTCAAACAACTTGACTACCACCTTTGTCAAACTAGTAGATCCGTAGTTACCGGGAAAATTATTGTCACAGCTATAAAAAAGCGAAAATAAGACAGCTTCCTTCAATGGCTGAAGTAAGAAACAGATACCAAGCGATCTTAGAAACACGCATTTGAGAAGACCCCTTAATCCGGTGGCCAGCACATGCAACGACAACAGATGAAGTAAAATAAAGCTGCAAACTTAAGAAGCATTTAGCTCTTGCAATATCGCAAACATCTGGGCCTCTGTTATGATAAGCTCAGCTAGGCAAGAATCCCACAGAACTATTGAGACCGGTCCAACGTATCGTAAAGAGGCTTTGTGAGTACTCCTTTCGTAAAGTACACAACTATTATTATGATCAACATGCGCATAGGTTCCAATGGTACACAGTAAATCTGAGATGGAGGAGTACGCCGTTACGTTTCTTTTAATTGAAGCCGAATCCGATAAACCTTTCGGGTAGTGAAAGCTGGCCCGTAGCCTTAAGGATCATAAGCCTGCCTTGTAATACGAGGGCGCGGGCTCGAGCTTGCGTAGGGACCGGGCGACCCATGCAATATCTGTAGCCCATGTGCGACTGCTGGTGTTTGCATGGAAGCGAAGCGTCAGTGCTGCATACCAGCGTACTGGTGATGCCTGTTGTTAGTGAAAACTAACAGTCCACAGACGCCGCCAAAATTTAAACAAGCGTATGTAAGGTCAGAAACCAACCCAAGTGACAGAAAAATAAGGTCGAGAGCAGACAGCAGTAAGATCCTCGTGCAACCAGTTGGAAATCCGTGAATCAATACAACGGTAACTGCAGTCTGTACAACCAATCCCTAACGGTAAGTTGCTAGATAGATTAGGTCAATACAGCCCAGGAATGTTCAAGTCCCCCACCCACTCGCACACAGTATGAATACACTTAACAATATATTTGACGATATTCTTAGGACCTTGCATAACACCACAACTGTAAACTGAGTAGGGGATGAGTGTAAAATAGCTAACAGAGCTTCAATAAGTCTGTCCAATAACTGCCATCGGTATGTCTGCAAAATATCTAATTGGTGGTCTGCGTACCTTACTGATCTATGGTGCTGTGTTGAGTGGTGCTTATTGCACCTTCGGAGTCACATACCAGATTAGTCAAACTCAGCCACCTAGTCCTCCAGGTTCGTACCCGAAGTGGTGGTCCTTTATTCATTAAAACGAACACCCTGTAGTCAATTGCCAAACTCTTGCTGTCAGTTAAACCGGTGGGGGCATTGGTCTGGGAATCTTGGCTGAAGTTATCTTGATCGAGTGGATCCCGGTTAGCAGCAATCAGGCCTGATCACTCGTTCAAGCAACGAAGTCGCACGGGGAGAGGAGACATCTACTTGTCACACCAGTGGTCTACCTCAATGGTTGGCGCAATCAGTGGTGCCTTGTATTTGGTTTCTTTCATTTAGCTATTAGTTTTTATTCCATCCCGATTATTTTATAGCACTTCTTGATTACATTTCTTACAATCTATTTGCATTTAGGCCCATTTTCCTGTTGCTGCCATTTTACCAATTACTTAGTTACCGTTTCTTTATTCATTAGTACTCTTGTTGCTGTTTGTTACTCTGGCGACGTGTCGTGCCAACTGGGTCCACCGCACTAAAGTGTCAGAAGCATATTTTGTCAACCGAACCGAACTGAATTAATTGCTATTGCTGCGTATGACTCTGTGGTATCATTGCCCTCTGCATATTTATTGTGTCGCTACATCTCTCCTATCCGTTACACTTTAGTTTTCGTTTCTATTCACGGACGAACAAAGCCTGAGTACCCAGGTCTTGATTACTCACTCGCCGAGTTCCATTATACTAGAATATACTCAACTGTGATTCAATCTCCATGGAACGTTTTCTCAAACCGGAAAGTTCTACGTTGATTCCAATACTCCAGATGCAATGAAACAGTGGATCCAATGGTACCATACTATTGTGATGCACAATCCCGGTAAAGGAAACATTTTGATGAACTACATAGCCCCCTCAAACTTCGAGCCATTACAATGAGGCTCGACCTAACCGTGATGCGATGGTTTACGTGCCTCAACGGTCCATTGAGGTATGCTATGTGGTGCTATTTTGCATCTTTGGAGCCACTCATCCCAGATTTGTCAATGGTTAGAGGCCAGACAAACAGTCGCCTGGTCTTCCAGGTTGATGGTAAGAGTGAGGGTGGCTCCTTAATCCATAAAACCGAATACTTATAGTCCACTGATAAACCCCGCTGCCTTGCGGTCAGGTTTTTGAACCAAAGGCTTTGGTTGAAAACCCTAATCGTTCTCCTGTGTAGGCATGGACAACCTGACCCTTGGTGGGGATCAGCTGAAAGTCGTGCAAAAGTTGAACTACCGAGGTAATTATATTAGCGCCGCTGGAATTGAAGATGAGGTCTCAAACCATATAGCAAAAGGACAAGATGCTTTGCTAACCTTCGACACCAATGGCGATAATGCGACATTACTCTATCCTTGAAGAGTAGAGTGTACAATGCAGCCGTACGTTCAACCCTGCTGTGCGGTTATGAAACCTGGCTCATTAGATCGGCCGACATAAAGAGGCTAGTTACGTTCGACCACCGGTAACTTCGTAGTTTAGCTCATATCTGGTGGGAACACTGTGTGAGTAACGAGCGTGTTCGACGCCTTGTTTACGGCGCAGGAAGAAGAAGCGAACCCTCAGTACCGTGGTTTCAAGCACCAGACTCCCAGGGCTGGGTCGCGTGTTGCGCACGCCAGCCCACCGACCCGGCGACGTGCGCGGTTTGCGCGCCAGGGGTGTGGATGGAAGAAGAGCAGGGATGGCCAAGCGATGACTTGGTCAAGAGGAATGAAAGCCCTTACTTCGAAGTTGTCCTCGGTTGGAGCCTCTCTGCTCCCTGGTTGGGGACCGAAGGACGATGAACAGGTTTGGCTGGATAAACTTGTTGACATGGCGAAGAGCCGACCTTAATAGCGTTTGTGTTGTGAATTTCTTTGTCCCTCCCCTCTCTCTTAACTTCCCCTCTAACCACGAGCTCATTTATTAGGCATAATATTACTCCGCTTTTGCGGCACAATATCCAGCTGTTAGCCCTCAGGAACGATGTCCATCCGTTACTGGTGACTCAGTACGCGTGCCGCTGTTTCATGTTCTTTTTCTTTTGTCTTGTGGCACAATAGATGAGATGTTCTCCACCTGCAGCTAACGTGAATAATAAAATAATGATGATCAGTCTGCTGAGCACCAACTTCAAAGGAGCTATACAGGCCTAAAGAGTGTTTATACTAAGCCCAGGAATGAAGTTTCCGAGCGCCACATTTTAGCTACGTGCAAGCAAGAAGACCGATCTATCTTGGACTGATTTCTTAAAGCTCAAAACCCATGCTAAGGAATCCAAGTCTGAGAGTTTGCGGATCAAAATCGTGATGGCGCCATTCGCGAAACGCTTATCACAGGGATAGTTTCCCATCAGATACGATACCAATCACTGGAACACGATGCGCTAAATTTTCAAACCGGATTCGAATTAGCGAGGTCCCTTATAGTGTCGTGCT